CCCGTATATAGTTTTTTACTCGTCCGCGTTCGTTTTACAATTTGAAAATAGCGCGCGCACACGATCGTGCTGTAGTGGTGTGCATCACCGTGTGAGTGGAGTGCTCGACGGATTTAATAAACCGTCCGTTTTCTTGGACGGCGCCCAAAATCGCGGTCGTAATAAAGAAAAAAATRTAAATCGGTAGGCTTTGCGCGTTGATTTACTCGTACACAGATTTTTATTGTCATCTCCGCGCCGCTACTGAGCGGCAGTAATTATTTTCGAAGGGAAAAAAATGCCGTTTGTGTAAAAATAACGACGTCCATCATCCGCTCGCGCGCATATTACATACATACATCATGTATATATATATAATAATAATATGGCGTGTAGGGTTGGATTTAGTCTATCAAACCGCTCTGTATACATATATATGTGTGTGTGTGTTTTTTTTTAAATGTTATAACGCACCAGAGTTTTCGGTATCGTATTATAATAATAATTATAGTATACCTATATATTAAAACGATAGACGAGCTCGTGTGTGTGTGTACGAGATATCTATATACACAACGCGTATAATATCATAATATTACTTACTCGTGTAAGAGCCGTCCAAATTTTTGAACTCGCATCTCTGTCCCATGAAACCGTCGGTACATCTGAAACACAAAAATCACATTTTAATATATCTATTATAATAAGTATGCTGTAACAATTATAATATATTACATGATACCTAAGTATTTATGTATATGCACTGCACGTCTACACACCTAACATTATGTACAATTAACTGCTGACCAATACTATAATATTAACACATACCTACTCATAATTGTAAGGCCTATGGTCAATACACACCATGCATGAAGTAAGTTAGTTCACTGTGCACCTAAGACCTCAACACTCAATAAATATCGAACTCTGTATTATAACTACGATACAGTCAAATAGTTAGATAGAATATAATTTAGGTATATAGCTTGTGAGTATTATTATTTGTAAGTGTTTAATCAGCTATATAATAAAACTAAATGATAACTGAAACGGAATCCTAGTTATTTGAATATATTTAAGATCCTGTTATATATATACCTATATATCTACCCTTGGCTACGGTAATTGCATCTATAGAGTCCTACGACTCTCACTGGATATCTTATATTTAACTGGTCGTTCCCCCGACCACGTTACGATACATATAACACTAGAGGTGACCAACATGAGCCACGCGGATAAACACAACGACATCGAAAACCGACATGTTTATAAATACATTTTTAAATTTTCATAATTTGTTCGTATTTCATATCGTTAATTATTAACAGATAAATAATACCTATTTTTTATTTTTTTTTAAATTATTATTTATTAATAATAAGACGCTAGCCGCGAGTTGACTTGCACCCCAGTGTGGTATATATTATTACCACACAGACGATAAAATATACAATACATTATCGTCAAAATAATTTTCAAAAYAGAATAATATTGTGGTCGTGTGTTATCGGTGTTGCGTGCGTCTATGTGGCACGGCGCTCGGAGTGTAATCGCGCCCGGGACAAATCGAAAATATACAACAATTAAAACGTTAACGCGATAAAATTCGTATTTCCGTCTATTACTACAGCATTTAAGTATGTACAATGTATTTATGTACACGCGGTTATATACACTGCAAGTCAGTACAATATATATATTTATGTATCTGTGTGCGTGTGTGTGTATATAGTTAAATTCGCTTTCTGCGCCAAAAGCACTCCTTAGAAAATTACGATGCCCGTTGCAGCAGTATAATACGTATGTGATATAAGTATTTGCTGTGTGCCTCGACCTTGTTCCGAATTGATTTTTATCAACAACAAGTCACTTCGTTTGTGTAACGGCCGCGGGTGTAATAATTTCTATTTCAAAGGCCGTTTGTGCGTGTCTCGTTAATCCGATATTCTTTTTAAACGTATAATATAATACGATTTCCAAGTAAACGTGAACAATTTTCGAACATTGTCTGAAGATTTATGGAACCGTTTCCTTCTCTCTCTCTCACTCTATAAAAATATACACACACACACACACACACACACACACTATACACTATAAAATCGTTTCCCAACACAAGAAACCCACGTTCCATCATATATACGTGTAGAGTGTATATATGCATGTGTATTCGGTATATTCCTCTCTCCGACTGAAATATGTTTATGCATGAGTAATTCAAATGGATTTTTCCTTTTTCAGCGTCATCGTAATTAATAAGCAAATGATTTCTCCGTGGAAAGTTTCGTTTTATTTCTTCGTTAATATTCAAAATTAAATTAGAAACCAAAGGAGGAAAAAAAATCGTAAATCGGTGCATATATACTCGTAATACGATTGCATTGACGGTGCATTGATATCATAATATTATACACAGCGAGTGCACGCGATTATTACTACATTCGGCCGAGATTTATACGAAAAGCGCGACGACTCATCGTAACGAACAAAATGTCCCAACASTGCAATTTTATTACTAYATATATTATGATGATAATTTTTACGAATAMATAGACCATATATAATACGATGTATACACGTCACGATGCAGGAAAAACGGCGAACGCGATGATGGGTAGGTACATACATACATATCATATTATACATGTACATAAAACGTCTATATAATTTCTAAATGCGTGTACGTAATACGCGGTGTATTTCGCACGTTTATTTTTAACATCATCTAATCGCTCGAACCGACCGTTTCGGAACGTTAAACTCCAAAGTTTAATCTCGTACGTTATACCTATATACGTATATAAATATATTTCATGTATATGTATATATGTATATAAGAACGCATATACACTAATAATATATTCCCTTCCAACTGCAGCACCAGCATCTCGCGAAACGTTCTTCGATCCGATGACGGACGACTGTAGCATAAATGCACGCTGCGAGCACGGCGCGAGTCAAAAATCGGATATAATATATAATGACGACTCGACAGTAAATAGGTAATAATAATATTATGACGATCCGCGGAGATTTCCGACCAGCTCAGCAGCGTTCGACCGGCGTGGGTATAGGTACATGACGACACATTTTTTTCGGTGACAAATTTTCGCGGTCCGAAAAACGCCGCAGACTATTATGATTATCGCGCGCGTTTACTATTTGTGATATTTATTTATTTATTACGATCGCGGGTCGCCTATAYATAGCAGCAGCGGCGCGGTTATGGCGCGTACCCATTATTATATATAAGCTGCACGTATATATACAACCGATCGGTAAACATCACATAAACTGCACATTTTCGAACGTACCTACACATATTATAATATCGTCGTGTAGGTAATACCTATATATCTACCTACCCGCACACATACAGATGAGAGTTTTCCTGCAGCAGACGTCGTCGTCGTCGATGCGCAGCTGCAGCGGGCGGGTTTTTGGGTGTGCGGTAGGAATTTTTGAAATATTTGCGACCCCGGCGTACTGCTGCGCTCGACTCCTCGCACGGTGGCGGCAGAGCGAGAAAGAGGTCCGAAGGATATCCGTGCTCGGGCATTAAACAGATACGTGACCCGCAATGCGGCCCGGGGATTATGTGTGTACACACACGCATTTAATAACGCCTATGTATATAATAATATAATACATACGCTATGTGATGGTGTGCAACGCAGTGTATGTGTGTGTGTGAGAGAGAGTGCAGTGCGTACACCTCGTCCTCCAGCCCCCCCTCGCCACCGCCCCAGCAGCATTCACATAATATTATATTATTATAACCCGTCCGCCGCCGCCGCCGTCGCCCCACACCCCGCCATTCGTCCGTATATTTCATAATATACACATATATATATGCGATATAGGTACGTGCATATGGGTACGTATAAGTATAATGCATACTTAGGTATACGTGGATGGTTACGTGTGTGC